AGTATCCGTCTACCAATCCAGCGCACTGTACAGTACGCTCCCGGCCATGTTGTTCAACAACACATCCTTTCGTGGGATCGGTGTTTGGGCCGGCACCGTTGCGTTGTTCAGCTTGTTATAAGCGTGAACCAGACGCCACTTTCCGTTCGGCTTACGAACGCAGAAAGTCGGCGTCGAGTGCGGGGATTTCGACTCCCGCACCATGCCTGCCTTCGCTTTCGCGGCGAAGAAGGCATCAATGACCTCGCACTGTTCGCGCGGGAGAGGCCATTGCCTCGTGACACAATACTTTGTGCCGGGCACGAGATCAATCTCGTGCCGTACGCCTCGATCCGGTGGGAGTTGGGTCGGTGGGTGTTTATTCACCACGTCCGCATACTCCGTCACCAAAGGATACACCGGATCCTTGGGGTTCTTGAGAATCTCAGAACCCAAGCGCGCCTGACGCTGCTTGTTCATGTCTTCCAGGACGTTCTCGTCCAAGACAGAGGAGGAGTTCAGCTCCTCCTGAGTGGTCTCAGGTCTCATGAGTACCATCTCAGCGATCTCTCCAGCCTTGAGGTTGGCCAGGAAAGACTCAGCCGTCATTTCCTCGAGGTTCAGTATCTCTGCAACCTCTGGCAACGGTTCCAAGTGGACACCAGATGCCTTGACGGGTAAACCCGTCTCGCTATCGAAGATGTGATAACACTCTTCCACCGGCCTTGTCGGAGGAGCCCGGGCCCTGGACTCCGAGTCGCTTGAAGCGACGTCGATCGGAACGAAGTTCGGATCCGACTTGAGGCGGCGGCGGCGTCTTTGCCGACGGCTTCTGTGACGGGGAGCTTTGCTGCCCACGTCTAGGGATGTCGTCGCTACGACATCCGAGGCACTCGTGGCCTCGTGTGGTACTGTTGTACCCACACAGGAAGCGTGTTCCACGCCTTCCTCTTCAGTTAAGGTCTGGGCGACCGCGTGTGGCACTGTGTTACCCACACAGGAAGCGTATCCGACGTCTTCCTCTTCAGTTATGGTCTGGGCGACCGTGTGTGGCACTGTGTTACCCACACAGGAAGCGTATCCGACGTCTTCCTCTTCAGTTATGGTCTGGGCGACCGTGAGTGGAACTCTGTTACCCACTCTGAACACGCTGTTCTCAGTGTTCATGACAGCTGCAGCTGTCTGCGGAACTAAGTTACCCGCCTGTGGACCTAAGTTACCCACTTGGCCGGCGCCTCTTCTGGGCGCGGCACCATCAAAACATCCTCGGAGTCGTCATATACGTCGACGACTCCCAAGCATCTGCCGGATGCTTTGGTACCCTGGCAGCCCTCGCGGGCGCCCCGGGTCCTGACAGAGGTGGGAACATGACTCACCAATGCTCTGTCGGACTGCGCAGGGCGGCTGGCACCGATTGCCTTGCCTCGCCAGTCGATCCAGGGCTCGTGCTTCTCAAGCCAGGGCATGCCCAGGATCATATCATATGGATCCATATCGAGAACAGTGAACTGTTCGAGGCTGTCAAAGTCTTCAAACTTGACAGCCAGATCCACTTGGACGTTGGGGACAGTGACGACCTTCCCGTCGGCCAGTCGCACTGACACCGTCCCGTTGCCCTTGCTTTCTCGCAAAGCTTCGGACAACTTGTTGCTGTTACGAGCAACCGTCTGGCGGCGTGCGAAATTCTTCGACGCCCCAGAGTCAATCAAGATTCTAAAGGGGTGATCGTACCCCCGTACACATCCGTGTACTACGAGCAACCCGCCGCTGCTCTTCGCCGATTCGAGAGTGCGAAGACTCTCAGGGGCTAAGTCCCCGTGGTACGCGCCACCCGCGCACCCATCACGAAGACTTAGTTCTTCCCCAGTAGGGCGCCCCGCCCCTACTGGTTCCCTGCGTTCCCCTGTCCCCGGGATCCTGGCTTCTGCCAGCGACCCTTGAGGACGGGCTTGGGGAAGGACCGTCTGCGGAGTCTTTCCGCGGGACAGTCGCGCTTGAAGTGGCCCATCTTCCCACAGCCGAAGCAGCGGATGTCACGCTGTTCGGCGGACCCGAGTTCCATGGGAACTGGTCCGTTGGGGCTTGTTCGACCGGGAGCCGACAAGGAACTCCCAGGCCACGCTGAGGCCGGCGTACGCGCCTGGCGATGGCTGTATTCTTCTTGAAGAGCCACTTGAATCGCCTCTTCAAGGGTGTTTGCCTGCACCCGGAACAGCTGAGTGCGTGCGGGGCCCACTCGAAGGCCGTCCATGAACACAGTCATCTTGATGTGTTCATTGAGTGGGTCTCCCACTAGGGACGCCGTGAGCTCCCGTATCTCTTGCACATACTCGTGCAGTTCGCGTCTTCCTTGTTTACACGCGAGGAAGCGCGAACGCTGGCGGTACTCGTAGTTCGCCGGGAAGGAACGCGGCTCGGAGCTGTTCGCACAGCTGAGCCCAGGATGTGAAACATCCAGGGGATGTCTCTTCCCGAGTGTACACCCAACTCTTAGCACGACCGCTAAGGTTGGAGAGTGCAAAAGCAACACGCAGTTGCTCGGTCGAGATCAGAGCCGCGTCCATCGCGAGCTCTACTTCTCGGACCCAGAAGTGAAGGTTCTCGCCTTCCTTCCCTTCATACGGCTTTACCTTCAGCCGTATTGGCTTCGGGTGAGGCGGGTTTGCTCCCGCCGCCGGAGCCTGCAGGTTCTCCCGCACATGCGCGATGAGGCCCTGCTCGTACGCGTCGAATGCATTGACGCGCTCGAGCTGCTCAGCCGGTGTTGATACCACCAGGCTCTGCAGGGCCTCCATCCCGAAGATGCCTGCCATCTTCCGAACCGACTCGAACTGAGAGTCGTTCATATGGGAGAAGTCGTTCATATCCATGGCAACGAACTTCGGAGGTTCAGGTAGTCTACCCGCGATGGCGTGGATTGACTACAAGTGCTACCAAGTGTGACGGGGTCACACAGCACCTTGCGCTAGAGGAAGTTATCTTCCGAGAGTATACAAACTCTCAGTGAACGGCAGTTCACAGGTCCCCTCTTTAATTAAAGAGAGCGAAGTGACCTAAATAAGGTAGATTGTAAACTGAGTATATTTATAGGTAGGTTAAGTTTGAGGTTAATACAAACTATCAGTTACCTATAGTAATGCAATGTCATTTAACCAATGGTTGGTTTTGAATGACCTTGGTACCTTGTACCAAATATCCCGGAGTATGACATGTCATACTCCTGAAGTGTGAAGTGTCACACTTCATGTAACCAGGGTACACTTAGTGCTACGTACCCCGTTACAGAGCAGCCACCATTTGTGCGTCATATGATATGACGCACAAATGGTGGCTGCTCAATCCTCGATTATGACTCATATCCAGTCTAAAACGGCTGACACGAGGTACCACGGTTGTCATTTCCCGCTGACTGGCCTCCATGTTCAACCGCCAGTTTAGTTTACACGTTGCACTGCAACATGCACGGCGAGTTCTTGACACCCGTCGGGTAAAGCCTTGACCGCCCACAGCTTCAACTGTTGTGTCAACCTTCTTCAGTGTATGTGCTCTACTGTAGCGATGCTCTGATCGGCCCTATCGTACCTCCCATCTCTCACCAAAGCTCGGTGAGTGCCCGCCGTCGAGGGACACGCCTCAGCTGAGTCGGACTTGTCGAACAGAGCGAGCTCGGGGCCTCCGACCCGATCGACTTGACTCCTCCCGGATCAATCACTTTGCAATTTGCGTCTCAAGCGACCAATCCAAGCTTATCCTCCACTCTCTCCACTATGAAGTCTTTTGTTGCCGCCATCGCCATCGCCGCGCTCGCCTCTGAGGCCTCTGCTGCCACCTGTGGAAGCAGCGTCTTGTCCGCTCTACTCACGAACGCCAACATCCAACAGTGCGGCACGGACTCGGGCTACGCTTTCACGGCCGCTGAGATCCCGGACCAGGCCACCATCGACAAGATGTGCGCCTCGACCGCCTGCAACACCCTGCTCGCTGACGTGCAGGCCATGAACCTGGAGGAGTGCCAGCTGCCGGTTGGTCCCGGCATCAACCTGAAGGCCGACCTGGTGGACTACGTGCCGGCCAACTGCCCATCGACGGCCGCACCCAGCCCGGACTCGCCTGCCACAGAGGCGCCTACCCCGGCCACGGAGGCCCCCAGCCTGGACTCTCCTGCCACGGACGCACCGGTTGTTGACACCCCGACGACGCCGGACAACTCGACGAACCAGGCCGATCCCACTGCCGCGCCGACCAAGACCCCCATCGCTTGCTAAGCGCGTGTACGGATCGACTCGCAGCCTGCTGCAGCCCTTGCGAGTGCTTTGCTGCTTTTTTTAGCCCCCGTCTATCGCCACGTTCTGATTATTAAGAGTCGTAGGCGACGTGCATGTTGAAGTCGTTCATCCGTTAGCGGCGATTTTAACATTGAATGACAATCATTCTTGAAACATTTAAAAAATATTGTTACGGAGGGACGTTAACACGTTTATTGTACTACGTAGTTTCTAGCTAGGCTAGTTGAGGATGTGGCGGGAGTAGCCAGCAAGTTGAAGACGAAGCGACGGAACTTTGGGCTCGTGTTGCACTCGCCAGACTCCTGACCTAGCAACGAGCTCCGACCAAATATCTAAAGCTGGGGGATCAAAGAGATTCGCCGTGAGAAGAGATGGCTGTCAGCTCTTCTTTCAGATGCAGAGCTACGCCGCACTTTCGCCGTCTTCGCCGCCATCTTGTCGTGCGTCTCCGCTGCCAGCACTTGTGGCTCGCACGCGGATTGCTTTGCGTCGGTCTTGTCAGCGCTGCTGAGTACATTGACCAGTGCGCGACGGACTCGGGCTACGTCTTCACGGCCGCCAGCATCCCAGACCAAGACACGGTCGAAAAGATGTGCGCTTCATCGGCCTGCCAGAACCTGCTCGCCGACGTGCAGGCCATGGGTCGGTCTGAGTGCGTCATCCCGGTGGGTGACAACATTTTGCTGCTCGCTGATCTGGTGGACTACGTACTGCCCGGCGTCGTCCACGGGCTCGACCACGAGCAGCATGTCGACCTCCACGACTGCTGCGAGCACTACCACTTCGTCCGCGAGCTCGGCTTTGACACCAACGGTCACCTCGGCTGCTACTGTGTCGTCTATAAGCTCCACGAGTAAAGCAACTCGAGACGAGTATTGACCTTCGGTCTACTCGCTACGTTTTCTTCGCTCTGCTACGCTTCTGTGAAGACTTGTCCAGATGCTAAGAAGCAACTTTGCAGGGCGCTATCACCAACTGAGAATCTACCCAAGTGTTTTGCTTTAACCTTTGAGTTCCTCGGTCCAAATGTGCTTACGACCGTTAAAGATTTGTGCTATCATTCCTTATGTGATCAAAAAAGCGCAAACAGGATACAGGAATGATTATCGTGATCTCCGATACCAAAATGTGCAGTGCAGAAGAACATGTACTGTAGCACCACACTGTCGCTGAAATTTTATAATACCGGTAGTAAAGGGTTAGCCCTTTGCTCAGCCTTCCAAGACATAAGTCAAAATGTGGTAGCAAGCGAATGCTCTGTTACATGTAATAGTATCTGACGCGTCCGAGTCACTGGAACATTGAGTGAGCAAGTCTCGACCGGAATGTTCGGTGTGGCCTCGAAGGAGGTCTACAGTAATCGAAGCGGCCCATGTACCATACAAACCAGTTGCATCTGCTTGTTTGGTGTACTGTAGCATATTCCATTGGAGCCCCCAATTCCACGAATATCGGATATTATCCGCGAGTAATCCCACTATTCCGGTGATGCAACTGCATCAGCCACTGTCTGAATATTGAGATAACCTTATTTTCACACGAACCGATTTGACCAACACATCAAGATTCCAACACAAAAAGACAGGGGCGGGGCAACAGACCCGGCCTTTCTGATAGACCCTGACCGTGGGGGCCCCAGGCTAGGGCTAATGGGGCTGACGCACCCGCGTCAGCCAAATGCAGTACGTGTTCGGAGGATGTGTGTTACTTGAATGTGACCCAAAAGTTGTTCGTTGTTTGGAAGCAAACATTGGCTTCTGGCCTCAAGACGCCAGCCACCGCACCCTACACACTGCCATGGTCGGGCTGTCCTCCGCGCAGCTTCCGCCTATGAAGCTGTACGCTGGGGACACGATCACCTACTACACTCAGATGTATGTCGCCGGCGACCCCCGTGGCTACAGGACTGCTGTTGTTACGCGCGTGGATGATTCGCTCGACAAGGCGGCGGCCCCGATCGCTGTCACGACGGATGAGATCATCCCGCCAACCATGATGATCAAGAAGGTGCTAAATCGTGACGGTGAGGAGGTGAAGTGCCATTGGCGCAAATTACGCACGTACAAGCTTGTGTCGGGCGAGTTCCGGGCTGTATCCGACCGCACACGTTTTGCTGAGGCGGTTCAGAGCATCGTAACCGCTGCTTTTACGGGTGTCTTTATTGGCGACGATCAGACGCATTCCCTGACGTCCAGCTCCCCGACCACGGTTGCTGCGGCCGTTGCTCACGGTCTCACAGATGCGCACGAGTCCGATGAAAAGAATGCATACGAGGAAAAGGCGCCAGTCACCGTGGCAGCCGCTAAAACCAAGGGTAACACGAACCCCAAGTTGTCCGCGCTCAGTAAGCGACCCAACTCCCCCCCTGGTCATTTGGTGGCACCTACGGCGCCACACAAGACTGGTGCTACCTCTGCGCAAGGCCATCCATCGCAGGAAATCTTGCAGCGAGCTAATGTGGGAGATGACGCTTCAGGTGACCTGTACAGGAAGAACACCGTCGTTCTCATTTCTATGAACATGACACATTTTTACAAAAAGAAGGCTAGCAGTCTTAATTCCGATGTTAAACAAGTCGAAGAAGCTGGAGGTGAGTTGAATGTGGAGGATGGACGTCTGGAATCCGAGGTAAAGGCTGAAGACAGCGTACCAGACTCTCCTAGTCAACCTGAGCAGACAAAGCAACAGGAAGAATCTAGTCAGCCTACTCCATCTCAGCTGGTATCTCTACGTGAGATTTTGGCGGTCCCTACACTCGCACAGCGCGAGGCACAGTATCACAGACGCAAGGTGAGAAAGGTTGACTACCACGTGAGTAAATCAAGAAAGAAACGCTACCAGAATAGACGCGCCCCAACTCGCAGCGGCACCAGCATCTATCACGCGCACACCTTGAAGGTGAAGACAATGAAGGACTTGTTGCGAATCCCTGGCATGCGACTGAAGTTGGTCAAAGTGCGCAAAAATAAACCGGTGTATAACGCGCCCACTCTACCTGACCCCGACGATGATATGCCAGAGGTTATGGAGCCTGTTCCCTTTCCGGACTGCGTGGCGCAGATCTCGGAGAACATTGTGCCGGAGGGGCTAAAATTCGTCGACGCCGGCGACGTTGACCCCTGCCTATGCATCGGAGACTGCTTCGCGCACTGCTGTCAGAACGCGGACATGGCATTCTACTGCACGACGGAGATCTGCCGTCTCGACGCGCTATGCAGCAACGCGCCACGTAATCACCCAGGCCTAAGGATCTACGATACTCGGCGCCTAGGCCTGGGCGTGTACACGACGCAGAAGTTATGGGCAGGAGAGATCGTCGCCGAGTACTGTGGAAAGTTGCAGGAGTATGAGGCTATGCGCGAAGGCCAACCCAAGGAGGCCATGAAGCAGAACAGCGGCTTCACCATGCTGTTGAATGAGAAAACCACGCGGGGAAACTTTGTGTATATCGAGGCGTTGGCTGCTGGAACGACCGCAAGATTCTTTCAGCACTCCTGCTGCCCCAACGTAGAGCTCGTGGAAATGCAGAATAGGACGCAGGTTAAGGTGCTGTGCCGTATGGTAGCTACTGTCGACGTTGGAGCCCAGATCACGGTCTCGTACGGTAATAATATCTGCTTCAAATGCGCGTGCGACCAGTGTTGGAAGAAGCGACCTTCACAGACTTAGTTTAAACGAATTTAAATCCAGCGGTTATAAAAGTAGAGTACGACTTCGTATCTCGACGGTATCGTGTAGTGATATATTGCTCGCATACTCTACATGCGAGGAGTTTCTCCGAAGACAGTCAAGAAAGATGCGATAATCAAAGTTCTTCATGCAGAAAAGAAGGCCCAGCATCCTTAATATTGGAAGATTGCTCAAATTTCGACGATGATCTTTTTACTAAAGAGGTTGGGTAAGAATACCATCGAAGGGTTCTTCTTAAAGCTCTTTGTATTTGTTGATATACTGTCAAAGCAAAAAAACACACACTATATCGTCGATGATGTTAAAGTCCTCGATTGGCTGATTATCAGATCAACTCATACCATGCAAAAGGCATCCCGGCGCTAGTTAAGTAGATCGCGTGCACATGCAGGATCTCAATATGTCAACGCTGGGCCAACACCCAGTGGACGGCCACCACGATGGCCGCTTCGCGAGATCAGACCTTCACTAGTGTTCTTCTGCTTGCCGCGCGTAACCAATATCTCCTGCCCGCGACAGTCCAAGTACTCGAGTGTTCGCTGTGCGAAGAGGACGTGCACACACACGCCAAAGCCAAACCAGTAGCTACATTGACACCACATACGGGTGGTGTCAACCATCCAGCCTCCGTACGGCTGTCCCTCGAACTCCATCCTGGCGTAGTTTACGCCCATCTGGGCACTCACCGCGATACCCTCTTCGCTGCGTGTATTGGGGGAAACTTGAATGCGTTTAGCTGGACATGAAATTACACGCACGAGTCCAGCGCTCGGAATATCACCTGGATCGCGCCAGCCCTCATACAGAAGCTCCTCACGGATCATCTCAGAGACCCTGCGTACGAGAGTTGGAGATGGAACCACATCCAGACTGAAGGCTCGCTCGCTTGCTGATTTATCCTGACAGCAATTACTTAGTTCCTGTAGCAACGCTCCCATTTTCAGTCTACGTCGGAGGGTGTAATCACGCTTCAGCACAGCGTTAAACGTCTCCACCGGATTGTTCGTGGATGCGAACCCGCTGGGAGTCCAATAGAGCTGCCAGGTAGAGAAGCGTCCCTTCAGCCATTGGCAGTTAATGTACTGGGCAAATGTCGTCAGCCCCCGACCATCCATCAGACGGTTTAAAAAGTCCTCCCGCATCCGCACGAACTCGTTGTGGCTGCGCGCAAAATGCATATCGTACAGATCGCGCACTATAGTAGCCTTAGTATCCGAGGGAAACGCCTTAATCGCCGTGTACACTTTCTCCATCACGTGGAAGAAACACATTAGGCTAGTGAACCGCGGGTTGTTGCCAAAAACAGCGTTGGCGGCGTTGTACTGAGCCTGGTCTGCGTCACCCATGACGTACTGCACCACCAGTTTGTATCCTGTGAGTACACCGTACAGTCGACGCAGCGCCATGAGCGTCGACTGTATAATGGCTTGGTTTTCACCGGATACAATAAACAGTGATACTAGGTGAAACACACGCGAGGTATCGGATATTCCGATCACAAGAACTGGGTACCCCCGGTAGTTGAGCTTGTATGTAGCGTCTACGTGCAGGATGAACGACTCAGGAGGCCTCATCAGTCGCATAATTAGCGTCTTGGTAGTTAAGCCGACGACGAACGGCCGCTCCTCAGAACCGTTGCCTACGACAGGCTTACCATCCACGTCCAGGTCCCACGCATAAGTGAAAGGCTGATCCAAGGCTTCGTCCCCAGTGAATGCACGCTCGTGGATCCACTTACGTAAATCGTCCACGCGATCGTTTCGCATCAAGTGAGTTCGCGAGTAGTGCTGCACGAAGTTTTGGACGGTGCTCAGGCTCGGAAGGTCCTGGAGCACCATATCAAACTTCCGCGTCATAGAGTGCCTAATTCTCATTGGCCGAAGGTGGTGTAGAGTCAGCTCCCTAACATAGGTTTTCTGGCTGGGCGTCAAACGCTTCTTTCTGGGGGATCTGGCTGCTGTAACGTGCTCCCCCACCTGGAAAATCGACACCGCGTTGTTCGGCATACACGATAAAGTCTTCCCTCGCCACGGGCAAGCCTGCCCATGCGAGGAAATCGACGTAGCACACGATTCCGACGCACACTTCAGTAGGCGGTAGCGCATCTTGTGTGTGGCGTCCTCTGGGCACACCACACACGCCAGTTGGTTGCACTTGGTCACCTCGTACGTCTTCAAGGTGCTCAGCACCCCCTCGGCGTCAAGGGCGGAGATGCCAAGCGCCACGTCCTTCCAGTCGATCCGCTTCGGCATCCTGCCAAGCGGGGTCGCGTAGATTGTGAAGTTCAAAATTAAACATTCAAATTTTTGAATCGAGAAATGTGGGAACTTTGATTGGGCTGTAGTGTCTGGCTCTGATTGGGCTATTTTCGACAGCTCTAGTTGTGTTCTGATTGGGTCTTATTTGACCCCTGTGGCGCGTCTGTGGCGCGTCTGCGCAGAAGTGGCAGCGTGCAAAGGCGGTCAAATCTATTCGTGATTCCTCCATAGCGTGTTGTGTTTGCACATTCTATGGGTGTTCACCCATTTTTGGTGTGGGAAGGCCGTACTGTTGGGTGTAAATCACTCGTTCTCCTGAATATTTAAGACTCTGATACAGTACGCACCACGTGGGACTTGGAAAGGGGTCATGAGTCATCATGGATGACTCGAGTGCGGTGCCTATTCGCTGTGGTGGCTGCTGCACTCGGATCAAGTGTTTTGCCCAGAAGTTCGCCGGTATCACAACGAACGGGTTGAACTGGTCTCTACTAGAGACTCTCTAGCTCTACGTAGACTACTCAAGTCGAGGTGCGATTGTTCAACAATCGCAATCATCCGGGCTGAACAAATTGTTCAGCTCGGATGATTTACAGAAGAGTTACAGTACTGTTGGATCTGATCGCAGGACCACACTCGTCAACACTGGTCCGGCACAGGTCTATTAATAAATAGTAGTGAACAGTACTACTACAGTAGTAGTAGACCTTCTACCGGTGTACTGTACATACCGTAACTAATAGTCACGACATCTTCAACGGCAGGTAAGATAGGGCGATACCATGACGTCGAAAGGACGTACACGTGAAGTCTAGACTCAGTTAGAAAGTAATACAGTACCTGGTAGATAATTAAGAGCTACATAGACTACTTAACTCTCTCGGTACATGTATTGAAGTCCATTGTCGTAGTACGGCCAGCACGAAGCAAGTTGCTAGTGTTGCTTCAAGCAACACCCGCTCGTCTTTGCAGGTCAACTTGCCGTGCTTTAGCTGGCAAACAAGCCCAGTAGTAATGCTTGAAGTGTTATGTGTTGCCCCCCCCTTCCCGGTCCCCTTCTCGCGTTGGGTTTCCTTCTCGCCATCGGTGTTTATAGATCGCCACTTGCAGATTGTCTCGTTACTGCAACAACCTAAAGCTGTCGGTGGCTACCAACGGAATATGAAGCTTTTACTCGCTATAGTGACGGCTGCAATGCTGACCAAGTCAACGGCAGCGGATTCGTGCGCTGTCTCCACGCTGTCGAGGCTTCTATTGAACCAAAACATCGGTCAATGCTCCGACGACTCCGGGTACGCCTTCACGACCGGCAGAAAACCCACCTCGGCAGAAGTTGGTGGCATGTGTGCGTCAGACGCGTGCCACAATCTTCTAAATGATGTCAAGGCGATGAACCTGACAGAGTGCACGCTGCCCATTGGCGACAAAATCTACTTGTTCGCAGACTTAATCGACTTTGTGTCGGACCAGTGTGACGGTGACACACCGACACCATCGACCGTCACGCCCGAGCCGGCAACGGCGGTTAGCTCCGAAAAGGTACGTATACGGAACTGATCAGATTCTAGATCAGATATTTATCTTACTGGAGATCTGACATGGGATCTGAAAATGATTGGTAAGTTCACGCACTTCTTCAGCCTCGAGGCTGCTCGTGCGTTGGTCAGTGAAGAAGATGAATCGAGAGGCAAACGAGGGCGCGTCGGTGGATGCCGAGGTGGAGCCTGCTGAGCCGGCTGAGGGCGCGCCGGAGGATGGCGAAGTGGAGCCAGCTGAGCCGGTCGAGGACGTCGTTAGCACTGAGTTGCTGTTCGAGCAAGCTCGACAGCAACTCGCAAATGATGTGGGGTCTGTGCCACGACGTGGTGAGCGGACGACATGCTTCTACAAGGGCTATAAGTACTGCAAGGCATGGTCGTCCTCAAGGAAAATTGTGTACAGATGCTCTAAGTTTCGCCAAGGTTGCAGAGGAAAGCTGGAGTTTACTATTGCATCGATGGCGTACGCTGCTGTTAAGCTGCACACATGCCGCACTGAAGCCATTGCCAACGTCGTCATCAACGTTGAGGACCAGATGAAAGCTCAAGCCGACCTTCTTGCGATTGAGCACGTCGCTTGGCCTGTGCGCCAAGTGTGGGAAGAATTGCGACGCCAGTTCTACTCAGCTGACAATCCCAACGTTGTTCGTGGGTTGTCAGAGCAACAAGTTGTCCGACGAGTACACCGAGCAAGAAGCGCGCATTACTCTAGCAATGTTCACGGCTCTATTGAAATTCCACCGCTTTCATTGGCACTAGACGAGGAGCTTTCCTTTTTCCAGTTTCACTACGTCACCATTAACCGCAACGATCTGAACAAGCCTTCCCGCTTGCTTGGGTGGGCGCATCCATCTCTGGTCGCGCTACTACGCTATCATGGTACCACGTTGTTTGTGCTTGGCACTTTTCGGTGTGTCCCGCAGGGTTACGCACAGTGCGTTGTGTTCATGGTCCACGACCGAGCCTCTGGAGTGTTCGTGCCGGTGTTCTACATTCTGAGCACCTCGCGTACTGGCGACGCCTACTGGGATATGATTCATTTTATCGTACAATCAACGGACCAGCAACTCGAACCGGCCGAAATTGTTTGTGACTTCGAAGCGCCACTGTTGGACGCACTACAAACACAGTTTCCGAACGCAATTGTGTTGGGGTGCTTGTTTCATCTGAAACAAGCACTCCGACGGGCTATGAAGCGCTATGCTATTCCGGAGGAAGAGTGTCTGATTGCAATGACACGTGGTGTCCTAGACACCCTGACGGTGATTGATCCTGCTCACATCGAGCGAGGTATTAAGTGGGTAAAGCGTGAGATCAAGTTGCGCTGTGCTCAAGCTGGCGTGACCTACTCTACTGAAAAATGGGCCGATTTTTGGGGGTATTTCAACCGCACTTGGCTGGAGCAGTATACCATCGATGTCTGGAACGTATTCGGCATGAACAACGAGTTGGTCGCACGACCGAATAATCCCCTGGAGAGGTTTAACAGGGAGCTTAATACACGTTTCCCAACCCCGCATCCTTCAATGGCGACATTTGTGACGGTGATCAAGGCTATATCAGCTGAGTACGTACGCCGCGTTGCTGATGTTCCTCGTGGGCGAGCCCGCCGTGTTCCTCGCGAGGTCATTCAGCTACCACAGGTTGTGGACATTCCCTCTGACGTTGACAGCGACGTGGATCCTCCACTGGAGGAACCGGAGGCAGTTGCTACACCCGCAGCGGACGGTAGTACACTCACTAGTGCTACGTTGTAGATATGTCCGTGTAGCAACCAGAAGACCTCGGTAAATGCTTCATCTTCTCCCCTTTAAAAGTGTTTTTCTTTGGTTTCAGTCTGTTCATAATTCAGGTCTCAAATCCTGATCTTAAATCCGATCAGTTCCGCATACGTACCATTTGGGAATCTACCGCAACGGCAGCTCCAACACCAGTGCCGACGACCGCTATCCCGGCACCTACCACGGCTATCGCGTCACGCACTTCAGCTCAATTGAGATACCTTCTCACAAGTTCGTATACGGCGCAGTGTGCCGGCGACACCGGTTACTCGTTCACGGCACCGACATCTCCGACGGAAGCCACCGTTGCTGCCATGTGTGCGTCTGAATCGTGCGTTAATCTCTTCGCGTATGTGGCATCAATGGTGACAACAGACTGCCGCGTCCCAGTCGGCGGGAAGATCCTGCTTCTATCGGATTTGGTTGACTACGTGGTGACGCAGCCACACCTACCCCAGCGACTCCTTCTCCACCGACCACAGCGCCGACCACGCCGTCACCGACCACCGCCACACCCGTGACAACATGCCAGACTTCGGCCCTCTCGGCCTTGCTCACGAACCAGTATATCGGCCAGTGCGCCACCGACTCGGGATACTCATTCTCATACGGCACTCAGCCCGATGCTGAGGAGGTTGCCGGTATGTGTGCGTCGAGTGCATGCGCCAATTTGCTCGCTGACGTGGAGGCGTTGGGTTTGTCGGAATGCATTCTACCTATCGGCGACAAGATCTACTTGTTCCGCGACCTCGTGGGCTACGTCGCGGACCAGTGCAGTTCGTCCTCGACAATAGTGCCGGTGACGGATACCCCAACGACCCCAGCACCAGCCACCGGCACCCCGACAACCATAGCGCCGACCACGCCGTTACCGACCACCGCCACACCTGACAACATGCCAGACTTCGGCCCTCTCGGCCTTGCTCACGAACCAGTATATCGGCCAGTGCGCCGCCGACTTGGGATACTCATTCACATCCGGCACTCAGCCCGATGCTGAGGAGGTTGCCGGTATGTGTGCGTCGAGTGCATGCGCCAATTTGCTCGCTGACGTGGAGGCGTTGGGTCTGTCGGAGTGCATTCTGCCAATCGGCGACAAGATCTACTTGTTCCGGGACCTAGTGGGCTACGTCGCGGACCAGTGCAGTTCGTCCTCGACAATAGTGCCGGTGACGGAGAGTCCAACGACCTCGGCACCAGCCACCGGCACCCCGACGACAACAGCACCGTCAATCGATCCGTCTCCAGCCCCCAATACTCCAACAACGATGGCGCCTCCTACTACCTCAACACCGGGAACGGCGTCACCCGGTACAGACGCTCCAGGCACAATTCCAGACACTGACAACCCCAAGACTGAAATTCCAATCATTGGGACGCCAATGACAGAAACACCCGAGCGGACGTCTCCAATCCATGACGCCTGCTAGCGATGCAAAACGCTCTTCCAAAATGTTTGTTGTTGAAGTGATTCAACCAATCGGATGGCTAAACATTTGCTCAAGCTGTGCGTATGGGTGGTATTATCATTAGCGGTAGGCATCATCCAGCGATTTCTAACCAAGACCGTACTTACACAGGATCATTTCTATAGTACCTTCTTTTCTACTTGACTTTCCTAGTAGACAATCTCAATAACTTTGATGATCGTATTCGACTTCATTCATTGACTCGGGATGTCGGTGGCTGCTGCTTGGTTCTCTTTTGAACTTGGCCTTCCCATTGATGAATGTCCGCTGTCGCTATTCCAAGGCAGCGTGAGTGAGTGGAGTGATATGAGAAGTTGTTGAAAACCTTTTTCTTTTTTTATTCTTTAACATTTACTCCATCGATTCATCTCGTTTCGCTATTTCGAACTACTCAAGTGAGTTTTAAAAGGCCCAATCAGTTATGGGAATGACAAGCTGTTGTTAGAGTTCTTTTCCCCCTCAAAATATGTACATTAGCGTTTCGTTGTTGCGATTTCTACCGAATTAGTTTAGCAGACAGAAACGCTGTCGGACGACACAGTAACAAGAAGCACGACGTGCATCACGGTGTTTGTATCCACTGAAACTCGGGAGAAATTGATGCCCTATCGAACACAAAAGACACGTCTTCCAGTCCACCAAGCAGACGTAAGATCGGTGTCAGCATGTCCGATTGACTCACGATGCTCGCCACGCGGCAGTTCTTCTCGTCCCATTCAAATCGTGTCGATCCAGCCATCACAAGGCGTTGCCCCAGGAGTTTCCGACCAAGCGCGGACACCCCGCCCTCCGCCTCACTACACAGGTGTGGGAAAGCGAGCTGCAACGTCTGCTCCTTGATGGTGACGCTGGTCGTTGTTGTCGCAATCAACGTACCGCCCAGATCCTTCGCTAAAATAAGCTGTCCAAATTCCTTTCCTATTAATAATATCAAGAGTGTACTTGATAGGAACAATGACCACTATCGGCATTTACTACTGTAGTACTTATTATAATTGATTTTGATAATGTTCGTGCTTGTGACCTTGAAATGCGTTATTGGCCTGTTCGACATGTGTTTTGCTTGCCACACAATCGATGATTATTTACTTGAGCTTGTTATGGTCAATGCTTCAGTTTTGATTGCCACTCATATTTTTTTTTCTGAAGTAGATTAATTCGGATGAAGCCGGTAGCAACCGAATCTGGTAGCCGGAACCGGTACAGTTATGAATATAATTCCTTCACAAGCTCCGAGACAGGAAACGATGCCGTTACACTTCCCCTGTCTAATGCACATTTGAAAAAAAATATGTCGAAAGCATGCCTTAAAAGGTTTTTGAAACAGTTTCCATAAAGCATCTACTGCGTGAGTGTGCCATATTATTCAAATGCTGTATTTATAAATTTAAATATAAAAAAGAATTAGGGGGGGGCATACAAGTGTTGACGTGGATACTGTACATCTTGCGCGTTTAGTGGTTTAATAGCAGTCAGCCAAGCACTATTTTAGTAAAATCAACAAGCCTTGAGTGCAGTAAATTTAACTCCAAGCCGCGTTTAAGATTTCACATGGGGCCGTAGAGGCACCTCTCTCAACATCACGCACTACATGCATCGTGGGTAATTAACCTATCACGAAGACACTTCACCTACCGACGTAACGCAGTTTGAGATTACATTATCATGTGAATCTGCATATGAGTAGCTGGATGTCAATCCATACAAACAACAAGTACTTTTTGAACACGCCATTAAAGTTGATCGACATCCGATGTCGTCAACCTGCGTCCCTCTCAGCCATGACGAGACTGAGAAACCTCTCGGAGACGCTCATTCCACAAGCTACAGCACAACCAAGACATCGAATCCATATCATCAGTGTTTCTCGTCGCCCTTAGCTCTCAACACCAATGAACTCCTGCATCCTTCGTCCTCCCAATGCACACCTTCTCAGTGACGGGGTGATTAGGAGTGTGCATGTGCGCACCAAGTCACATCGTAGCACTTCGAAAAGACGGCAACACGTGGATGAAAAATTCTATGACACCACTGTTTAACCGCCCCAAACACAAGTTACTCAAGCCGTTTCCGAACCGACAGCTAGAAGCTCATCCAGTGGGAATCTTTTACCAGTACTCAACGTCACTCCTTCAAGGGACCGCAAGCGGAAGACAGAGCAACTCTACAAACCAGCCAAGACACAACCATCATCTACTGCTGGGTCAACCCCTTCTAGTCCTCAAGAAGAAGCGCCTGTCACGTGCATCCAGCGCTTCAAACAGAGCAGCACAGTGGAGAAGCTTCAACGAGAGCTTCGTCGCAAGAAACAAGCACGATACAGGAAGAAACAAACCGACCACATGATAAATCTCGAGAAGGAGAACGATCAGCTGCAGCAAGAGATTGAGAGGCTCAAGCGTCGTCGTTTCTCGACAGCAGCGGCTTTACCCCCACGAGAAAACTTGTGGAGTGCAGCTCTCGAGTACTTTCGTCTCTTTCGACATGGCTTACAAGAACCGAAGATGATGGCGGTGCTGTCTGGAGAGGATAAAGTCCAGTCCTGTGTCCAGGCGGCATTCTTCCAGTCCACGATAGCTCCAGACGTCATATTCAATGCCCACCAAGGCATCGACAAGATGGTGCAGTACTGGAATTTCCTGTCGTGCTCGTTCAAGGACATGGTGGTCGAGCTCAAGTGTCTGACGCAGGAGAATGAAGACTCGCTGATCGCTACTTCACTTACCAGCGTCACCATCAGCGAGCAGACACTGGCTGCAGTTTTCCCTCATCTGCTCGACGAAGAGTCTCGGGAGCTTGACAAAACGAAAGCTTCACTCTGTCAAGCTCTCCTTGACCAGCGAATCACCAAGGACGGCTCAATTCGCTTTGAATGGGACGCGATGAATGGACGAGTGACCAGGGTGACGACGGAGTCGGACATGTTGTCTCCAATGCTGCGTCTTCTAGGAAGTGTGGAGAACGTCTCTCGAGTATTTAGAGATGCTTTCGTTTCGCTTGATTTCCAGTGGAGGCCTAGAGCGAGGGAACCCTCTGTAGACAACCAATAACTTTTAACATACAATAGATAGCACCGAAGAAATGCTGTCGTCTCCGTCTATTAATTCCATTTAGGCAATGAAAGCGGTCGACAGATATTGCTAAGTACCAAACAAAGATTTGTTAAACTTCTTAAAAGGATATTCTACTCTTAAGAAAAAGAACTTCGGGTGTCCCTTTCCATCTGTCGTGAAACTTTTTAATTTAAAAGAAATGTGTCACATCCACTCGGACATCTTCATGTTGAACCCGCATTCATTCCACATTTTCGTTTTCCGCAACCATGCGAGTGTCCGACGCGGACACAGGCGGCAGTGCGCTTTCATACGCCGCTCTGTTTGATGCTGGGCGTCGCCAAGGTGCCGACGAAGCCCCATTGATGCCCCCAGACGTCCCAACGCCTCCACAAGCCCAAGGATGCGAGGAAAGCCCCCAAGAAGAGGAAAAAATAGAAAAGAAATCGCCCGCTAGAAGCCTTGCTGCTGCATTGCTCAGCGGCTGCGTGGGGGAGTTCTACCGCATAGTGGAAGACTTGGCCAATATTGCGACGGACGAGGAGCTTAAGCTGCCGCAGATCGTCGTCATCGGAGAAGAGAGCAGTGGCAAGTCCAGCGTGCTTGAGAGTGTAGCCATGTTGCCGCTGTTTCCCCGCGAAGTTGACATCTGCACGAGAATGCCCATCCTCCTCCAAATGTCGCACGGCAACATTGAAGGCGACCCTGAGCTCATGCCGCACTGCAAAGGCAATCCGCCGCATGCCGACGAGCTGCAGATTAAAATGCGTCTGGTTTACTCGGACAAGCGAGCGCCAATTGAGTTCGACAAGCTCTGTACGCTGCAAGATGTCGCTCAGCGCATGAGCCAGTTGATGAAGCAGGTCGCCCAGGAGGAACACGACGCCAACAAACTTGCAGGAGTTGTGAATCACGTGTTGGAGATTGAAGTGCGCGCACCCAATTTGCCCAACTTGAAGTTAGTTGACTTGCCGGGAATTGTCGCAGGGAAACTCATTGACGAGCCCGGAGACATGATGCAACGCACACGAACACTAGTAGAAAAGTATCTAAAGATGCCAGACACTCTGGTGCTAGCAGTAACTCCAGCATTTGAGCGTGTGCGCAACTCGCAGGCATTTCAATTGGTGCAGCAGTACAAGTTAACAGACAAGACGATAGGCGTGTTGACCATGGTAGATCGCGCACGGGACGAAACGAACCCCGAGGGTCCTTTAACGCAAGTGCAAAACCGTCTGGACGGCACATCGAGCGACATCGTGTACTTGAAAGAAGGTTACGTGGCTGTGAGGTGCCGGAACACGCGCGTCGTTCCAGCGGTAAGTTTGGAGGAATTTAAGGAGGAGGAAGACGCGTGGTTTGAGGAAAACCTTCCTCGGTACATCCATCGCAATCTTGCATCCAGTACTGTACTAGTGGGGAAATTGGAAAAATTGTTGGCACACCACGTGCGTCAATCGTGGGTACCTCCAGCTCTAACGAAGATTAAAAAGGAAACCGACAAAGTTGCCCTCAAGCTGGAAAATTTGGGTCCCGATGCGCAAGAAATACTCAACGATTTCCTTCGCGTGTCTCAGTCAGTTGCGCGCAAACGCATGTTGCAACTGATACAGCCGATTGTACCGGAGTTGATGAGCTCTGTTGACCAAGTGATGTTGCAGTTTGCAACAGTTATTCATGCGGACTTTATGGGGTCGCGCGACGAACACGAACTCATTCTGTCTCCGTTTAACTCGAAGATGCAACGTTCGTTTACGACAAAATCCGGTTCGTTGGTTGCCGCGTCAATGGTGATGTTGTGTCGTATACCTCCTCTTCCTTCAAGGGTCGGGTAGTCCGCGGCTGTTCAGGGAGTACGGTCTTGTTCAGTGGCTGCAGGAACGGTAGATAGGAACACTAGAGAGTTGAAAAATAAAAGTTTGTTGATTGGCTTGGCTTCCTCTTGAGTAGAAGGAGGGAAATATAAGACTGAGAGCTAACCGGAAGAGAGGCCTAACACCTTCTCGACCTTACATACACTACACTACATAAAAAAAGGAAGGATTCACTTCGTTTGTTGTCGGCCTTCGTGGGACAACGGAGAGCCTCTGGGAAAGGGCTTGATGTCGCGAGGTGCTTTTGGTCCCCGACGCCAAGACTCCGGCGTTCAGGGGTCCCCTTATAGTACCACCCTAACGGGCTCGGTCAAGGGTACGTGCGAGGTTGAGTTCAACGGGAACCACCCTGACGGGACGGCGGGGCGAGGAGTGATTCCAGGGTCTCGGGTCATCCCGACGGGAGGCAGAGCTCCTGGAATGACCCCTCCGTTCCCGGGTACGGGACATTCTCCCCGACTTGTCGTTCGTCGTCCTCGGCGAACGGTTCCTCTGCGTACATCTCTCACGCTAGTACTATAGACTCCGTCGTTAGCAACTTCTTCAGACAGGGGAGGTTGGAACGCTTCGTGGTAGTCCTCGGAGCTGTCCTCAACGTAGTTAGGGTCGGCGGCTTGAAAGTCATATAGCACCTCGACATCGTCGTCGACCCGCAGACGTTCGATGTTCCGAGCCTCGGCCATACTACGTTGAGAAGCGTTGTGGCGGGTACTCGTCAATGCTAGTTCGACCAGCACCTTAGGGGAGACAGATCGGAGGGGGCTCCCCTCGTCGTATTGACGACAAGCGTGAGATACCACACCAGCGACCACCACGACAAGAGTGTCGGCGAGACTCCAGCCGGTCCACTCGAGGCAGTAGTTGGTAGCTAGTAGGAGCAATAGTACAGTCCCAACATCCACTGGTCCCAGGAGTACGAACTCCACCAGATCGAAGGCGTTGACTGGGATGTACAGCAGTAGAGACAGGCATAGTAGTACTAGCCAGAACTACTATGCGCCAGAACGTTCTGTTTCTCCTTTACGGTCACGATCGAAGTCCCCAGTGCACAAGAAGTCCCGTCGGTCACGTTCTGAGGAGCGTCCTGCGTCTCGGTCGAAGTCTCCGACGAAGTCCTCAACCATCAAGACGAGTAGGGAGTACCGGCGGGGCAAAGCACGATCACCTACGCACTCGAAGGGGAGTAAAGTCACCCCCGACAAACCGATCAACGGCAAAACGCCGACTCCTCCGTCAGCTCCAGCGTCGCTGGACGGTACGCGTAAGCGGTCGCGTTCGGTGTCTTCCTTGAAGAAGGCAGTGCCCCCTAAGGGACGCTCGGCCTCGCGGTCCCCGTCAGCACCTCGGAAGTCGAGTTCGCCGGGTGTTCATTCAGCTCCTAGTTCGCCGGCTAAAAAGTCCGACAAAACAGCCTAACGAGAGGCCGTCGAGAAGTTATTGATTCGTACCATTCCAGAACCGTTCCTCACTGGATGAGAGTAAGAGTACTGGCATAGTCTTCCTTTTTAAGTTTCTTTTTGTTTTTCACCACGATTCGTCCCCACTTGTTGTTTTCGTTTTTTTTCTTGAGATCGCGGTAAGATTGTTTTTCTTTTTGGTATGTAGGAGATCAGCCACTTGTGAAGTAGAATCCAAAAATATACAAAGTCGTAAGAAGTGTTCTTCAGGACACTTTCGAGGGAGGCGGGGTCGTGAGTTTACTCTGGCTCATTGGGTCGACCCGCCACGATTCCCCCTCCCTAGAAGAGTAGCTCTTCTTCGTCAACGGCGGCGTTAGCGTCTTCCAACCGCGCGCTGCGACGTAGTTCTGGTAGGTCTCCCTCCCGACGACGGGTTTCTTCGAACGCCTTGATCAGAGCAGCGTAGGTGGGCAATAGTGTGTTTCGTGGTCTCCAAAGAGTCTCGTAGGTAGCTAACAACACCAGGAACTGCTCTTCACGGTTCTTTTTGCGTCGGGCGATTATGTCGATCACAGAGCAAGGAACTCCGGTCAGGGCCGTCTCTTCCCCTCCAATCAGGAGTCTCTCTACGAAGCTAGTAGAGGGGAGGTCCTCTTCTGATAGAGGTCCGTCGTCGTCTACACCCGGACTCGACTGGACTCCCTCGGGTACTTCAGAAGGGAACGGTCGACTCCATCGCCCTTGGAAACGTTTCAACCTATTGACGTTAATGGTCACGACCCGATTGGGGTGAGAAGGGATGGCTACTCGATAGGAGTTCTCTCCCACGATCCCGACCACACGGTACGGACCATGCCACGCGAAAGCGAGCTTCTTCGTGGTCTTTTCCCCGCGACGAGCTCGAAAGTACTGGTAGACCCACACCGGGTCTCCCTCCTTGAACTTAATCGGTACTTGGTTGCTCAGTCGTTGCTCGTGTCTGCCCTGGGCCTTCAAGAGTTGGCGCTCTACTAATCGTCTCGTATCCCGTAGAGATAAGAATAGCTTTCGTCTGTAGCTAGCGACTTCGTTACTCTTCCATCCGTTGTTCGTGTTGAGAAACGCGAGGTCCAGAGGTAACACCGGGTCCCGGCCATACAGGCTGAAGAATGGTGAGTCCTTAAGGGCCTCGTGATACGACGAACGATATGCGAACAGTACTCGGGGAAGATATAAGTCCCAGTCGTTCTGAGCTTCGTTGACATACATCTTAAGCATCCCGATCAGCGTGCCGTTGAAGCGTTCAACTAGCCCCTGAGTCTGAGGATGGTAAGCAGCTCCAAACAACTTCTTGATCCCGAGTGTATCGTAGAAGGATCGTGCCAGGTTCGAGATGAAGTTGGATCCTTGGTCGCTCAGTAGTTTCTCGGGGACTCCGTGCCGCGAGATCACTTCGTTCACCATAACTTCCACGAACGTTACAGTGTCCAAGCGGGCCACTGGGAACGCTTCGACCCATCGAGTGAAATAGTCAGCGAAGACGAGTATGAACTTGTTGCCTCGAGGAGTAGCCACTAAGGGACCTATGGCGTCCACCACTAATAGCGAGAAAGGCCCCGATAGTTCTTGTACGGGCATCCTCTGCATTCGGCCATTTCTCCAAGGGCGATAGCCTTTACCACTGCCGCACACGGTGCATTCCCGAACATATTCGGCCACATCCTTCTTCCACCCGTGCCAGTAAGCGTGCTTGCGCACTTTGTCGAGCGTCTTAGTAACTCCGACATGAGCGGCAAGTACATCCATATGACAGTGATGTAGTACCGTCGATATGAAAGGCAGAAGAATCACAGGAACTTCAAGAGTAGACGCCGGTCCAGCGCGAGCCTTCAGGTGTACGCGACGCATGAGTACTCCGTTCTTTACCGAGTAGTTAGGCGCCATCAGCAGGATTATGGTGCGCATTTGAGGGTCCAGAGCTAGAGCTCCATCGCTAAGGAACGCTATCATAGCTTGGATCTAGGGTGTCCTCTTCTGTTCTTCCACGAAGCGAGTTTGTTGTAACCCGAACACATCAACGGGGGACACTAGGAGTTGGTCGGTAACCTCTTCTTCGTCGGGGAACGGCTCGGGTCTAGCTTCGCCAGCGTCCTCGGGCAAGGTCCCTGAAGGGAGCAGAGTCGAGTCGAGAGTCGTAGTCTCCCCGACTTCGACAGTACAAGGAGGGGGCTCGTCAGCATCGTTGAGTAGCTCCGCCATAGAGATAGCATTGATGGTTTGGGTATACAGCCTGGACAGACCATCCACATGACCCATCGAAGTACCAGGCTTGTGGAACACCTTGAAACGTAATTGAGACAACTCCATGGCCCACCTAGCAGCTTAGCGTTGCTCGTACGATTAGTTTCGTTGAATACCCACGTCAAAGCTTTGTGGTCCGTGTATAGGTCGAACTCGCAACGGTCCAGGTAGCAGCGGAACTTGCGCGTGGCCCAAACGATACCCCAGCACTCGATCTCCGACGTACCGTCCTCCTTATGGACCCAGTTCTTCTCGGAGCCAACTAGTAGCTTGCTCGCATAGGCCACGACTCTCTCGCGCCCCTCCACGGTTTGCATTAAGCATGCCCCTACAGCGAGCTTAGACGAGTCCACATATAGAAGGAAGCGCTTCGAAAAGTCGGGATACACCAGGATGGGAGGTTCCACCAGCTTACGCTTTAGTTGCAGGAAAGCGGCCTCGCAGTCGTCGCTCCAGAAGAATCGGGCCCCTTTCATCTTAAGCCGTTCGATTGGGGCCGATATGGCTGCGTATCCCGGGATGTACCGCCTGAAGTAACTAGTCAGACCCAGGAACGCCCTCACAGTGTGCAAGTCGTGCGGTCTGAGCACGTTCATCACCGACTTGACCTTTTCGGGGTTGGGCAATATGCCAGACGGAGTGACGATGTGACCCAAAAACGCTACCTGGTCGCGTGCCCACTTGCACTTTTTCATCTTGAGCTTGAATCCCGCCGACCGGAACCGTTCCAAGACTTGTTTTAGTCGTACTAGGTGGGTAGGAAAGTCTTCACTGAAGACCACGCAGTCGTCGAGGTACACTAGACAAGTCCGCCACTTAAGGTCAACAAGCACAGTCTCCATCAGTCGTTCGAAGGCCGGTA